TTGGAAACTCATCTGCAGGTGAAACACAAAAGTCAGACAGGTTTATGTCCTGCTTTAGCAATACAGAACTAGCCACTGCTTTCTCTTAAAAGGAGTAGGATGGTACATATCAAATATTATAGGTTATGCTTATTTCAAAACTGTTGAGGCAAAGTAATCTACATCACATTATAAAGTTAGTGGAAATGTGCAACCATTATATCAAATGTTTGGAACAGTGTAATATACTGCACAATGCAGACTTCACACCTGTGGTGCTCATGTTAAACATTTTTGAACAGTGAGACGATACACAGACTTTTCAGAAGGACTGTACAAAAGTAATACAGCAAGGATGTCATATTGAGCACTTTGTGTTTAAGAAAGACTATTTTCATTCACCTAATCTATGTTTGCAAACTGATGAACTCGCCAAGTTAATGTCTGCATGGCTACTTAACTAGTTAGATTTGAGATTTCCTTAAGAAAATTTAGTTAACTGAGTAGACGAGCCAGTCTTTTTGAATTTGATATAAACAGCTGACATGCGTATTCTTTATACAGTACATATGTATATATATGATTCAGTCACAGAAACAGGAGAGCCTTCAGAATAAAAAAGAAGAGAGAAAAAAGAGAATTTAGGGAGGCAGCTAATGGGAGTGCATCGCTTCATAACTGGGGCACAACTAGTGGTAAATGGTCATCAAAAAAGCCAGTTCCTTAGGCTACATTCTACGTACACCTCAGAAACAGAACGATTACATCGGTAAATATTGTATGACTTAAGTTTTGATGAAAATCAAAACTGCCTGTAGCCTATTTACAAAAAATATACAGTCTATGTGTGTAGTAATTCCATTCCATCAAATTCTTTGATTTGATGTGCTATCATGTGAACTCTTGCTCTTAAGATGGAAAGAGATTGCATTTGGTATTGCATGTAATTGGTAACTTTTTTATGCTTTGTCCTCTTGTTAAGATGTGTTACAAAAGGAACTTTTCTGGTTCTTCTCTCTCCAACATCTCTCTTCTGGACTCAACATCCCTTAATAAACTAGATACGCACATGAAACCCACCACATCTATTTTAGATCCCATTCCCACCACTTTATTTTAGTCCTGTTTCTCTTCTCTCTGTCCCATTGTCCTCAATATTATAAATGAATCCTTGAGCACTGACATTGTACCAACGGTCCTCAAAACTGCTGCCATTACCCCCGTGCCAAAAAAGCCTAACATGGCTCTCGACAATCTAAACAATGTTCTCCCCATCTCCAACTTACCCTTTCTTCCAAAAATTCTGGAACGTGCTGTCACATTTCAGTTACCTAACCACCTCATGACAAACAGCCTTTTCGAACCCCTCCAATCTGGCTTCCGTCAACTTCACAGCACAGAAACTGCCCTGGTCAAAGTCACTAACGATCTTCTAATAGCTTCTGATTCTGGTT